GTATTTTCCCACGTCATTGTAGTTCTTTTAAAGTTGTAGCAACGTTTCAGCAGAATCTCATCTGCCATCATCAGGCTTCTGTATAATCATATATATATGATTATCTCTGCAATTTATAATATTCCATTAAGCTGGTATTTCAGTGATACAATAGATTTTATGCAAAAAAAGAAAAAGCAGGAAACAGATAAAAAACTAAAACCACAAAGCTATGGACAGACACACCTTTATATCACTCCTCCTGAGGTTTTTTTCTGTTGTAAAAAAAACACCAATATTTTATATTCTTTTTATTCAGTATGTGTCAAGTTACAGTATGAGTCAAGCTTGTATTGGATTTTACTATTATAAATAACATTCTTAATAAAATATATTAAGAAAAAATTAATAGAAATACAAAAAGCAGACAACTAAATTAGGCATAAATTATTGAATTGAAAAAAATGACAACTCGTCATTCAAATGCAAACCAGACTCAGTATTTCTGACTTCATTCATACAAAAGAATTCTGAACAAAAGTGCTCTCCTACCTTCTAATATGAAAACAATTTGGCTATAAATTATAAATAAATAATTAGGATAAGGGGAAAAAAGAATAATAAAAGTACAGGGAAAAAAGAGAAAGAATGTAGAAAAGAAATATATAGGAAATGACTTCCTACCTTTTTTAAAAAAATTGTTTTATTGGTTTTTAAAAACAAACATAAACAAACAAAACATAAAAACATCAAGCTATCTTCCATAGGTGTACATACAGCGTGCCGGTTGGTTTACAAATTGTTTTGTGCTTCCATTTCGTAGTCTTTAATTACAATTACATTACATATAATCTCATATTGTCAATCAAAAATTAAATACCTTAGTATCATTATTAATCATTTGACTATACTTTTATTCATTCATGTTTTACAAGATAACCATAATTTACTTAGTTTATTTTATAACAGTTCATATTATCATCCCAAATCTATCCTAAAATCATTTTGTAGATATAATAAGAAAGAAGTACATCTTTATATATTTATTATTTTCTAAAAGTCTACATATTTCATTACTGTACTTTATTGTCTAACCATTGATAGAAAAGATCCCAAATTTTGTAAAATTGTTTATCCTCTTGTTCTCTAATTTCAAATGTCAATCTACTCATTTTAGCACATTCCAATATTTTCTTAATGATTTCTTCCTGTGATGGTATTTTCTCATTTTTCCAGTTTTTAGCAATTACAATCCTAGCCGCTGTTAATACATTTACAGTCAGGTATTTCAAGTCTTTACTATATATTTCAGGTAAAATTCCCAATAAAAATATCTCTGGTTTCAAGTCTATATGTTTTTTTGTCATTTTTTCCAACCACATGTGGATTTTAGTCCAGTATTTTTTAGCATCCGCACAAGTCCACCACATATGGTAATATGAGCCAGGTGTCTGATGACATTTCCAACATTTTTCGGATTTATTCTTGAACATTCTTGCTATTCTTGTCGGGGGGAAATGCCACCTGTAAAACATCTTATACAAATTTTCTTTATATGCTGTTGACATTGTCATTTTATAATTTTGAGACCACAATTTTTGCCATTTCTCTAAATCAATCCCATATCTAAAATTCTTCCCCCAAGCAATCATAGTTTCTTTAACTTGTTCTTCTAGTTTAATTTCTAATAAATATCCATACAATTTTTGAATCACCTTTTCATCAGTACCTGTCAAAATCTTATCTAAGTCCGTCAGTTTATCATAGAAATCTTCTGTTTTAGAATCTTTATCATACCTTGAATGTATTTGCGCATATCAAAACCAATTCATCTTTATACCTTGCTCCTCTAGTTTTTGCATAGATTTAAGTTCACCCTTTTCATTCAATATTTCACCATATCTAACTGTTTGTTCCTTTTTATATATTATAGGATACGAAAATGCTTCAATAGTTGATAACCAGACTGGAATTTTCAAATAACATTGTCTTTTAATCTTCTCCCAGTTTAACCACAGAGACTCCCGTATATAATGTCTTCTAAAATACCCCTGTGTTTTAGTTCCTTTGTACCATAAAAAAGCATGCCACCCCAACAACAAATCATGTCCTTCTAATGTCAACAATCTAGTATTTCTTAGTGTTATCCATTCCTTAACCCACATCAGATTTGTAGCTTGGTAGTACAACTCCCAATTAGGCAAACCAAATCCTCCTCTAATTCTAGCATCTTGCAAAAGTTTTAACTTTATTCTTGCTTTCTTACCTTGCCATATATATTTCAACACAATTTTATTTAAATCTTCAAAGTAGTCTTTTCCAAGCCTAATTGGAATTGTTTGAAACAAATATAAAATTCTGGGTAATATATTCATCTTGATTGTTGAAATTCTCCCTATTAGTGACAGTTGTAAGTTTTCCCATTTCGCCAAATCTAGCGCTATCTGCTGTTTAAGTTTAATGTAATTATTCTCTTTTAATGTACTACATCTTGCTGTCAAATATATCCCCAAGTACTTAATCTTATTCGTGACCTGAATTTTCAATAGATCTGCCAGTTCTTCCTTTTGTCTTAATAGCATATTCTTTGTCAAAATCTTTGTCTTATCTTTATTTATTTTCAAACCAGCCACCTTTCCATATGTCTCTATCTTTTCTATCAATTTTGATGCTGTTTCTAAAGGGTGTTATAAGATGAAAACCAGATCATCCGCAAATGCTTGCAGCTTAAATTCTTCCTTTTTGATTTTCATTCCTTTTATAGTCTTTTCATCTCTAATATTTCTGTTTAGCACTTCCAAAGTTAACAGAAACAACAAAGGCACCCTTGTCTTGTTCCTTTTCTTATATTAATAGAGTCTGTCAGTTCTTCCTCTATCATTACCTTTGCCGTTTGCTTATAGTATATAGCTTCTATTGCTTGAATAAATTTTCTAGCAAAACCCATCTGTTCCAACAGTAATAACATGAATCGCCAATTCACATTATCAAATGCCTTCTGTGCATCTAGAAATATCAGAGCCATTTGTTTTTCAGGATGTGCCTCGTAGTATTCCAAAGTATCCAAGATTACTCTCATATTGTCTTTAATTTGTCTCTTTGGCAGAAATCCATTTTGATCAGGATGGATAAAATTATTTAAATATTTTTTAAGTCTTTCTGCCAATATTGAAGCAAACTGCATTTAGTAGAGAAATAGGTCTGTAGTTCTTAATTTGTAATGGGTCGGCCTCCTCTTTTGGAATAAGTGTAATATAGGCTTCTGACCATGATTTAGGTATCTTCTTCTTTAACATAACTTCATTCATAACTTCTAGCAATGGAAGATTCAACGATTCTTGTAATGTTTTATAAAATTCTGCCGGAAGTCCATCTGGGCCTGGTGCCTTTCCATTATTTTGCTTCTTGAGTGCTTCAGTTAACTCCATCATCGTTATATTGCTTTCTAACATTTTTCAGTCTCTTTAGGTATCTGAGGTAAATTAGCATTTTGTAAGTACTGCTTAACTCTTTCCTCATCAATATTCTCTTGCATATATAATTTCCCATAGAAGTCTCGAATGATTTCCTTCTTCTCTTTGCTACCATGGCAAACTTGGCCTTGATCATCTATTAATTGCAATATTTTCTTTGATTCTTCCTCCTTTCTCAATTTGTATGCTAACCATCTACCTAGTTTGTTTGCGTCTTCAAAGTAGTTTTGTTTAGCACCTCTAATTTTCTGTGCTAATTCTTCTTTTTCTATTTGACCCATTTTGTGTTTAATTATATCCATTTTTAGCTTGATGTCCTTTTTCTGTGGCATTTTCTATAGCTCTTTTTCAAGTCTTTTATGCTCATCCTCTAGGGCCTTAGAGGCTAGCCTTTTCATAGTGTTCCTTTTCCTTGTATAGTCTATTATCAAGCCTCTGACATATGCCTTCATTGTATCCCATACATTCTGAATTGATGTATCTTCTTTTTTGTTTTCTCTAAAGAAAAAAGCCAATTCTTTCTCCATCCACTGTGTGAAGTCTTTTTCCTTTAAAATAGTATTATTTAATGTCCATCTAGATCTTCTTTTTTGTCCTTTCCATTTAATTGTCATTGGATTGTGATCTGCCCGACTTCCTACCTTTTTCACAACCATTTTAAACATGTTTAACAATTCTTAAACTTCTATGTGGTTATAACAGATACCTTTTCATCCCATGTACCATCACTTATCTATAAGCAAATGCATAGAATATCAACTTTTCAATCTGTTGTCAGCAAAAAATCCAAAAGCAATTGTCAGAACTTTGCAAAAATAATAATAACTTTGTTGAAATAAACTAATTATAGTCTTTCCTTTTACGGTCTTAATCTTTACTTCAATCAAATATTGCCATAGGTTCTGATTTCTCTTCAATTGTTCTTTATCTCATTGCATAGATATTTTCAAGGCTGTAACAAGCCTCTTTTGTAGATTCAATTAAAAAAAACATTTCTAGGTAATCCGTTTGGTTTATCATTTGTATTTCTCTTTTCATTTGTAAAACTTAAGCCACTTTCTTTTGTATATCCAATAAAACATACTTTATTATAATTCTCTTTTATCTGTATGTCAGTAAAAGTAGGCATTCCATGGCTTGCTGTTTGAAGGAATATAAACGGTGAATAAGTAACCCCTTGTTTTATTTCTATGTTTACAGGCAAGGGAAAATACTGAATCTGTAATATTATCTCCAATGTGTACCTTCAGTGGCAGCTGAGACAGCTAATATTGGACTATTGTGAAAGTGCAGTTCAAAAGTTATATACAGAAATAGGATTTGAACTGGAATATCATGTCTGAAAATATCAAGCAGAGTTTGTTCCTAATTTTGTGTGTGTGTGGCTTGGTTTTGGTGTAGAATAACCTGCATCATAAATATTACTATGGTACTAAGAAAACGAGTACTTTAAATATGGGATTAATGTTTATAATCACAGCTACATCTCATTTATGCTTCCAATTCTAATTTAATTTCCATACTTTCTCATTACATTGAATTTTTTAGTTGGTGATAAGAACCAAAACTGGAGAGATCCTTTATCGCATTTCTCCTTGGGCTAGATATGTAGCTCGTGAAGGTACCAATGTGAATTATGATTGGATACACTGGGAGCCATCAACTCCATATAAAGTAAGTTATTAAATTGACTGTGATGTATTTCTTATCTATTATAGATGTCAGTGGGATTTTTCTTAAAGTTTGTAAACTCTCTTAGAGAGTTATATCGGGAAAGAATTATACTCTTTACATGCAGAATATTTTTTTTATTAGAAGGCCAAACTATGTGCACTTTCCTATTAATAAACTGTAACACACACACACACACACACACACACACACACACACACCAACACCCACGTTAATAATAATAATAATAATAATAATAATAATAATAATAATAATAATAATAATAATAATAATAATAATA